TGACAAATATTGATAATTTTCTCTTATTTGATATGAAGTGTTTCTCTTATTCTAAATTACTGATATACTGCAAAGAAGAGGTTGTCAATTACAATAACATAGCATCTTCCATACAGCACTCGCCGTCCAACCTGCCTTCACCGACTTTTACCTCCTCCGATGTGAGTGATCGCACGCCTGTAAATAGAAACTAGCCTCTAATTGTTACTCCATCAATGTTTGAACCACTTCAATGATTTCTTGCAGGAAAAAACAAAGAACTCTCCCGCGTTTACTTGTCATATGGAAGTCCAATGGTCAAAAACCTAAATACAAACTTAGAATCCAATCTAGTTTTTCTTCAAGGGAGAAGATGCTTAGACCCCAATATCACTTTGAATGTACACATTCGGAAAAACACAAATTTTGTATTGTCTAAAAAATACATTTTCAAATAAAGTATACAATCAGGAAATACTCTTTCAGAAACACCTATATCTTTCGAGAAATACAGAAGGTGAGAAAAGTGGTACCCTGATTTTAATGGCATTCTATACCATCTTTTTTTGGTCAAAACAATTCATACTATCATCTTACATCAAACCTAGAAAACTGTACTGTCTTCAAAAAACTACTTATTAATTTTTTTATAGAGCTTAATGTTATTGCTCCCAAATATATTAGTTCAGTATTTTCATTTATCAGTGTTATCATCTCTACTAAGCTGATTACATTCTTGCATTAACTTCTTATTACTTAACACCCCAACGATACATCACCTATTTTATCACAAAACTCTCAATACTGCCTCTATTTCAACCTCTCAAATTTTGACATGGGTCCGATTCATCCTACAAAACCGACTTGTAAAGAGAGGATTGTCCCCACTTATAAACACAACTTGTCATATCTCTAAACGATGTTGGACTAAATTCATCCCTTCAAACTCAACACAATGAAGGTGTTGGGGACCGACAATGAAGGCAAGCCAAATGCCACAATTTAGACGACTAAGGGCGGACCGCAATGAAGGCGGAAATTCCAACACGCCCCTCACGCTCGGACATCAATGAAGCTCCATGCGTGGACAATGCGGGAAACCCAACAAGTGATCTAGAATAGGCTCTGAAACCATCTCAAAATTTGGGTTGGGTCTACAAAATCAGCTCGTAAGATTAGGATTGTCACCACTTATAAACACAACACATGACATATCTCTAAGCAATGTGAGACTAAATCTACCCCTTCAAAATTCAAACCCAACACAATGAAGGTGTTGGGAATGCAATGAAGCCAGGCCAAATGCCGCAATTTAGGTGACTAGGGGCGGATTGCAATGAAGGCGGAAATTTCAACACAACCACACTACTTAAATCCAATGGTTTGCATTCTTCCTATTTCTTAAACCGTGAGATATTAATATTACTTCAAACTTCGACCTCTAATTCGAAGAGACTCGGCCTTTTCCAGAACTTGCACTATATGGATCCCGCCTTATTTTTCCATTCACACGAGTCATTACCTTACACCCCCCTCATAAATATCTTAACAGATGCTGTCATCCAAACACCTTCTTTTTAGGTATTCAATGAATGACAAATAATTGAAATACAAATTTTTCATGATATATATATAACATAAAAAATGAGTTTCTAAGCAACCTTCTATCAGTTCATGGTTGTAGAGAGTACAAAAACTACTTTGACAAAAACTGCAAGATTCAACAGTTGGTAGGATAATTACAATCGACAATGCTAAAGTGCATCAAGTTATACGAGTGGTATCAGTAATAATTTGTATTCTGCTAATCCGCTAGCTCACCAATGGGCAGAGACATGGTAAAAGAAACCAAAAAGAAAAATTGGACATTCATCACCTCTCAGCAGATACACTTCATTAAGTAGATCAAACAAACATTCAGAGGACAGACAAATTCTCTTTCTAAGTGTAAAAATGATCAACAGCTTAAACAATCTGCTAAAAATACACTGTGCCAGATGCTATCAGACAGCCAAAACCAGAAGTGACACAGCTGGCCCAAACACATAGGATGCTATAAAATATAGCCCTAGCATGTGTGGCATGTACTCAGAATGACAGTAAATTGTAACTGATCAAGGTGATTATTTAACCATACTGTGGCACGTATAACTTTTATTTTTCCTAAGTATGAATAAAACAAGGATATGCAGTTAAGCAACAATGGGGTGAATTACTTAGCTGTATCATCATGTTCGAGAACCAGATGATCTTCTGCTGAGGATAATGCTCTATCAACTGGAAGATAAGACAATGCTATTGCTGCAGTACCAAGCACAATCACAGTCGTAATGGAACCCCAAATCCACTTTTGCCTCCGCCTCTTTCTCTGCCTCTCGCGTCGTGCCATCTCTACACGAGAGAAAACACTCGATAAAATTGAGAATTAAGCAAGCCGAATAAAAAAAGGCATAATTTAAGCTGAGAACATAATAATGCAATGTTTATAATGGGATGTTGTATTTTATGCAAACGGAATATCATCTACAGACTACATCTAGTTAATTAAAAATCAAATCATAGCTTCTGGTTCGTAGCAAAGCCAAAAACCAATATCAAATAATACTTGGAACAATTTTTAAAAAATACACTTAATAAAATAACTAGATGTAGTCTGTAGTCAACATCTAAATAAAATAACTATGGATATGCGAGTCTGAACTCTTAATTAAATAACTATCCCAAAGCCACAGTTATTGACCAGATACAACATATTCAATCAACATACACTTTTTTTCATCCATAGTCAAAAACATGTAATATCTGTCAATAAGATAAGTGCAATGAGGGGGAAAATGATAAATCAAATTTCCACTAGTTGTATCATACATCTAATATCTAGGACCGTTTGTTTTGACTTTTTTTAAAAATGATTTTTATAGTGTGACATAATTTGTGTAAAAAAAATTACAAAGAAACTTTAAATAAAAGCTTCAAATGAAAATTTTGTTTGAATAGTTATTCTTAAAATGTTATTTTAGATAATTTATCATTTTAGTGAAACTTTTTTTGGATATAAAAGATTCCAAAAATCACTTAATTTTGAAGCTATTTCAAATAGTTTTTCATAAAAATCATTTTTGAAATACAACTTTTTGAAAAATTACGATTTCGACAATGTTTCGATCTTCAATAATGTATGTTTATGTTATAGGATGTCAAAATTAGTCTTTCAATTTAGAAAAAACAGAAATAAAAAAACTTATAATATTTTGAAAAACGGTTTTATAAAATCCATTTTTGAAAATACAAAGAAAAAATCAATTTTTTTAAAGCTAAAACAAACAGGCCCTAATTACAAGTAGAAAATGATTTGTGCTCCCATTATCAAAACAATTGAAGACTAAGGATGTGATATAAGTCTTACCTACTGCTTCCTGGTTTCGCTGAGACATCTCCCGATTCATGGTCTCATAACAATGGAGACGTTCCAAGATTCGAGCAATATCAAAGTTCTTAGATTCTAGTTGAGCTTCCATCTCCATCTCTACCTCAGCCCTGACAGTTGCTCTCCCAATAGTATTTGATATAAATCTAGCAACATAAAGTTGTTGACATAGGTCTTCCAGAGGATCAGAGTTCACCGGCTCATCCTCAGCTACAGTACTAAGACCAGCAGGCAAAACGATTCCCGCTAGACTTAACCCCTGCTTAATACTCTCCCATTGACTTCTCATGTTATTTAAGGATTCTTCAGCTTGCTTCCGCTTCTCTATTTCCATCAATAGACTCAATCTCATTTCATGCAATTCAGCTTCAACATCGTATGCAAAATTTTGAGTAGCCGACACCGACGATAGTTCTACAGGAAGAGAAAAAACAAGCTAATAAATGACATTAAATATTTCTAAGAAACTCCATTACAAAATTAGTGACTCTGAGATTGCAATAAGATTGATATATCCACGAAAAAATGAGATATCCCTTTATTAAACACAGTTGCACTACGAGATTGAGAAAAAAGTACCAAAAAAACCCGACGAATGCCATGTGCATTTACAACAGAAAAAAATTGGCACTACAGGTAACCCAACTTACCTTCACAAGCATCATAAAACTCGCCAACAGGACTGCTGAATTTCACAGGTAGGTCTGTTCCTGCATTCTCTTCCACATCTGTGTTGCTTGTAAAACTCATGGAATCTCTCGGGTCAAAGAAGTCTTCAATATCTGTATCTCTTTCCGAATTCAATGCAGGCCCATTTGCAAGACTACAATTCTCAGGTTCTTGGTGTCCATTCACCAGCTGTCCTTCATTGCCTCTAACAAACTCACCACCACAGACACCATTCACGTGCTCCTCTTCAACAGGTTCATGGTTTGAAAAGGTGAATTGGAGATCACCACCAGAACTCCCAATCACAGTATCAAAGCTCTTATCATCAATTGCTTCACTATTCTGCTTGGAAAGTGCGCTGGCCTCAGACGAACTCTTGAGGAGACGCGGGCCACGGCGTTTATGGTTAACAACATATGGTGAAGGTGGGAATGAAGAAGGCGAATCTGCAATGGGAAGTAACTTTACTTCAGGTGTGGTATAAAGTGCCGGCTTCAACGGAGGACGAGGAGGAACCTTCTTTTTCATAGCTGGTGCACTAGCAGTCCTATCAAGTGTCCGAGATATCGGTACAGGCATTGAAGTTGGAACAGGTTTATCAATTGGTTTGGAAGCTCCAGTTTCTAACAACCTATCCAATGCTATTGCAGAAAAAGGCGGCATGTCTGAACAAAAAAAACACGAAAAATTCAACAAATCCCTAATGCTGCAGCTATCATTAATACATGATTAAACCTAAAACATAAAAAATAAAAATAAAAATACAATATTTACATATAAACTTCCCCAGAAACTAGCTAAAAACCATTATAATAAAAAAGTAGAATCGAAATTCAAAAATCGAAACCGCCATAGTTTATGAGAAAGCGTAAAAAAGACGAAAGAGAGAAGAAAATACCCGGTGGAAATAAAGTGAAGGCTGAGCATGAAAGAGAGGAAGCGGCGGGAAGGAGAGGAGTACGGAGGTGCTGCGTACTTTACGGAAGTTTCTCGATGTTGTAATGCTGCCTATCAAGTGTTTGTGTTTTGTTCACATCGACATATCAACGGAAAATTATTTGGAGTTATTGCAATGACCGCCTCTGGCAGATTTGAGTTTTGCCTTGGAATTTTCTCCTTTTTGGGTGGGGACCTGGCTAATCGTATTCTTTTTCTCTATATTCTATTCTTTTTTTGGGTTACGTTGCGTCCTTTTGTTTGTTTGGAATTTTTCATTCTACCATTCTACTTGGAATTCCAAGGGATTGCGAAATTTATAAAATGCTCCATATTTTTAAACATCTATTTTTTGAATGCATCAATTATTTTTATTTAAAAGTTTATTTGAAGAAGCATCTCTTAAAGGATTTTAAATCATGTTTGTAAATATATCTTTAAATTAATTTTTATTAAATTTAAAAAATTAATTCGAAGATATATCTTCGAATTAAGTAAATATACGTAAATGCGCGTCATATTCTCCACTTTTCTTCTTCTTTATTTTTAGTTTAGAAAATTTTCTCTCCCTCTGACTCATTTTCAATTGGGACTCTCTCTTAACTTTTGAAGCCATTTTAGATCATTTGTTTGTATTTTGTCATTTCCAACTCTCTCTCTAAATACTCTACTACGTACAATATTTTATACTTTCATCAACACATTTTTTAGTAAGTTTCTCATTTAGTTTTTTTTCAAAATAAAAAAAGTATTAGATCAAATATGTTACTTTTAATGTATTAGATGGTATTAACATTTGAAATAGATTATGTATAGGATTTGTTTCTATCATTTGAGGGAGTTGGATGAGTTTTAGATGGTTAGGGCAAGGGCATAGATGTTTCTGCCATTGAAATCCAAAAATTAAGTTTTTTTCGAAGATGTATCTTCGAAATGTGTTCTTTCTGATGTTTGGAGATACATCTCCGATTTTTTTTCTTTCTGATGCATTAACATCTTTTGTTATGTTTTTCAAGGATAATAGTTGCAAACAACGACAATATGAGACTCGATCGTCCCACCCTAATCTTGTCTGCTCGCCGCGAGAGGACTCGTTATCATGAGCAGGCTAGAGCCTTCCCTATGTGCTTCACGACAAGGAAGCGTCGACCTCTAGGAGTCGACTATCACAGGGGTCGTTATCTCAGACTCGTACACACCATGAGGAGGAGGCCCATTGTTGACCCTTATTCAGGAGGCCCATTGACACTTCATTATTGATATACTTTGGAGATCGTGTGGCTCCGTATATCTTGGGCGAAGAGTTATATTTCCTAACAGTTCTATTTCGTATGAGCAAATCATGGATGATCATGTCATTGATGTGTTATCAATCTGTCCGAGTATTATGTGGATGACAGAAGAGGGAATCAAGTTTTGGGTGTTTGAGAGAAATGGAAATGAATCGGTTGCCCTAGCATGTTCCATTCTTACCGAGGCACGAAATGGCTTGGGTTACTGTAGGAAAAGAAGGATTCGAGGTGCTAGGATTAGGCATACTCGATAGATTATGCATTTGATTGTATTTTGTATATGTTTCCATACTTTGAGAATAATTTTTGTACTATGATTGTCTTTCTGATTAATTAATGCATTACTATGTTCTATGATATTCATGTTTATTAATATTTCTAATAAATAATGGCAATGCTAGTCGAATTAAAATTACTCTGGATTGAAAAAACTGCAATCTCAGTACATTGCTTCTGCATAGGAAACATCCAGGCAAGACTTCGGAGATGTATCTCTGAATTTACTCCACAAATAGTTAGCAGATACATCCCCGAACTACAATTTTCTTAAGAAATATGGTGTCTATTTGATTTACCAAGGAAGAAAGATGACTTCGGAGATGCATCTGCGAATTAATCTTGAGTTTATTCGGAGATGCATCTATGAACTAAATTTTGGCAAAAAAATAGAATTTGATACGTTCAAAGATGTATGTCCGAATAAAATCAAGAGTATTTTAAGATTTTCAGAGGTGCTCACCACTACATAAGAATGTAATGAGAAATTCCCCTTTATTTTGTAGATCTTTTACGATCCATCCCATCACAAAAGTTAGATTCTTGTCTATTTGCATGTATAATTAAAGAAATGGGTGTGATGTCTTATTTTCTATAAATTTCTCTTTTGAATATGTTGAGCTATGGGTGGACAACGTGTCACTTAGGTGGTTTCGGGCCAAAGGCTTCATTCAGTCTAAATTAGAGTTAAATTATTTAAATTTATTTTCGGACCAGTGTAAATAAATAAAAAAATATTTGAATTTCAATCTTCAGATACATTTTACAAATATTGAAATCTAGACATAGTCATTTAAATGATGAATCAATTGCTACCTCCTTATTCTATTACATTTGAAATTAAGTGAAAAACACACAAAAAGATAGAAGAGATCTATCAAAAAATCTAGATTCTCATAACTTGTACTCTTGTTCATTCAAACTAAGCACTTTTAGTCTTTTTCATTCAAATTAAGCACTTTTAGTCATTTTCATTCAAACTAAGAACATTCATTTCTAATATTTGGTAAGTTTGTCATCCTTATTTTTTTCATGCATGCAATTTTTTAATTGATTATACTTAAACTACATAATATACATACTTAAGTTACATTAATAGATTCCTTCATATAATATTGATGCTTGTTTTTTTATTATGATTATGGGACATTTGGGGGTTTGGGTTTTTGCTGGATACGCGAAAATTAAACTTTTCGTAAATCTTATTTTTCAAGTAGGTAAACTCTAACTTTTCTTAAAACTCATTTTTCAAACATTTTCTTCGAGGACAGAGAAACTTTCAAGTTTGGGGTTGTGATGTCAGTTTATCACACTATGTTTTTAGTTCTTTAATTTTTTATTATAAAAAGTTTTCATTATTAATGTGTTTCTATTTTGTAGGTTTTAATAAAGAATTCAGAGATTCATGGAAAAGACCAAAGTGTGTTGAAATTATTCTAATCATAAAATTTTCATAGTATTTTAATGTAAAAGTTACCATGAAAAACTAAGGAGAGAGATGGAACATGAAGAATGAAGAATGGAAAAAAAATCAACAAGTAATGGTGGTACTTAAAAAAGTCAGTGACGTGATCCAAATTTTCGGCCTAGAGAGCAAAAACAATTACATAATCAAATCACAGTGCACCTACAAGGCATGATAGCGCTATCAAGATCTAGAAGGCCAAAGCAGTGAACTCATTAGCACAATGGTGTGATCCCAACTTTATGCCAAGGCATGGAAGATTTTTAAGTGACCAGTCGTAGCATAGTTAGGGATTGGTGCGGCGCGGTGTGATCTTGCAAAATCATAAGTTTACTTATAAATAGAAAAACATGTTTATTCATCGAGGGTCTGACTTTATAGAGTCTGAGGTGTTTTTCTGAGCTAAGAGAATGTGATAATGAAAGCTATCATTAGGAGTTTGTTCTTTGTCATTATAAGTCGTTATATTTTCTTTTCAATTGTAAAAACCATGAATTGCAAAAGGATGAGTGGCTAGTCCCCTTAGATTAGAATTTATCTATATGATTTTATCTTAAACGTGTGATTCAATGTAATCTTATGTGAATGCTTTTGTAATGAATTTTTTATTATAATTATATAGTTCTATTGAAGTTTAATGTTTTCTGATGTCTATAGAATTAGTATAATTGATATAGAGGGTAATGTGACATGGTAGTAATTTGTTCATCTGATTGGTAGAACAATGAGATTATAATGATAGTTCTTATTGCGACAGAAATATTATTGGCTATTAGTCTAGTTTTACACATTATAAAATATTTTTCTTAGAGATTGGAGACTCTCATTATCTAGAGGGTTGCTTTGAAAAAATAGGTAGCCTTGTGATTGGAGACTCCTAACATATGGGGGGTTACAAGGTGAAATTTTGTGTTTTATAAAATTGTTTTTTATTTTACGTGTCATAAAACTTTTGTTGTTGAGATTGGAGACTCCCAACATTTGAGGGGTTACAAGGTTATAATTATGTGTTTTGTAAAAGGTCATAATTAAATCAAATTCGTTATATGAATAGTCATATGAATGCTCACATCTAGCATAAATGATTCTAAATAGAAACTTAATCATTTTTATTATATTTGTCAATCATATTTAGCAATTCTCCAGTTTACAATTATGCAAACAACCAATCAACCGTGCTATCTGCACCCCCATATTATGTTAGTAACTCATTTATCTATATTCACAAGTGCATTCACCTTTTCCTCGTATGAGGTTAATACAATCCTTGTGGATATTATAAATTTACTTGCCACAATGTGATTTCAATTGACATAATTACTATGATTGCAAATTTTTACTAATCAATTAAATTTCTATGATTACCTAGTTCTATCAATTTTATCTACGTTAAATGGAGATGACGACTCTCTAATTCACTTACTTCAAAAGTTGTTACAATAGATTACAATATGAATTACAAGAAAATAGTCTTTTAAGTTCCTAAGAACAAATCCAATTTTTTATCCAAGTATTTCTCAATCTCTCTAACTCTTAATATAAGAATCACACAAACCCAAGGTATTTAAAGTATTTACCAATATCATTGATAAATCTAAAAGACTGTCAAATTCCTAGAATATAATTATAAGAAATTTTACCCTTTGCTTCTCACTAGGATTTCTACCTTATACAAACTCGCAACTGGTTTTACAATAAATGAGAGAAACACATATTTATAACTACCAAAACCTCATCAGGCCCAAGCCCAAAAATATGTCAGTATGAAAATATGTTTCTTTTTTTCTCACTTGAGGTTTCAAGGCATATTACAATAACTAGAGTATTAAAGTGCTTGCAGATATATCATCTCACCATCAAGAAATTTTCATCCTCTAATGCATCTGAACCATTATCATTACTGTCTAAGGATGACAATGGACGGGGTATGGGTAGGGTACTATAGTACTGTTAGCTCCTAAATTCGACACCTACAACAAGTTGGCCTTATGGGCCAAAAATAGATTGAACAAGTCTAAGTTGGAAAAGCTTCGACAAAGTAGAAAAGTACTTAGAGAAATTATAAGTTAAAATGAGTCTTCAACCAGAAGTTTCTCAATCCCTTCGACTAAAGGGACTCCAAGGTCTTCAACCAGAAGGAAACTTTTTATCTTCCCCGAAAGATTTTTGAATCTGGAGAAAGGCGGAAAAACAGTTTGCTTGACAGTTGAGGAAAGCAATGTGGCATGAAAAGAGGGGTCGAAGCGCATGCAGAAGACACTTGTCTTCATCCTGGAGCAAGGCAACTCCTCGAAGGTTACCTAGTTTTAGTATAAATATAGGAAGTTTATGTAGATTTCCGTGTGTTCAACTGATCATACAAATTATTCAATACTATTCAAGTACCCGTTGCGTGAGAAAGAATACTGAAAAATGTACGTTTGAAACACTATATTTTACAATCAAAGTCTTTTATTTCTCTATTTACATTTCTTGCCCCTTTATCTTGTTTGCACTTTATCTGCACTTTTACCCAAATTCCTTCACCTAACCTCTCCTCAACCCCTTCTTTCTATTTACTTTCTGGACTCAAACTCATCCCTTTCTCAGTCGAACTTGCGTTCTTCACCCACATTAACGTTTATGTCCAAACAACATCAAAAATTAGCATATGTCCTAGGATTAAACTGATCGATCCTGCGAGTAACCAAAAAGTTACCCTTTTGGAAGATCATCTGTTGTTCACTAGAAAACACGGTGAACAAATTGGCACACCTGGTGGGACCTTGCTAATTATTGTTGCTTTATTTATTTTGTTTTCTGTTTGTTCCCATTAATCTTAATATAAATGCTTCACATGATTTTCTTTCTTTTACAAAGTTTTGCATGCTATTAAGAAGTGGTAAAGTAACCACCAACGAGTGTACAACTAGAAAGAGAAATAGTGAAAGAAATATGGCTAATCAGCCAAATAATGGAGAAATACCTCCACCAATTACTACGGGAACAACGGTAATACCAACCGTTAGTGAAATTGTCTCGTCAACTGTTGGTTCGATACCAACATTAACAACAACCCAAACGGGACCAATACTTTCGTATGTAGGTCCCAGAGGTCCAACAAGAACACCCCCACCAAGGGTGAATCCAGGATTTCGACCACATGCTCCCTCAAGATTTTCGACAGCCTGGATGGGTCGAGACCAGCCTTATGGCATGCCAACTACTGAAATGGCTAGCCTTATGAA